AAAAAAAAGCAAATTTAAAGTCACGGTTATTCCGACTAATAACGTAGCCTTGTGTTACAACACGCGGTGCATGACGGGAGCCGGCAACACGGGGGCCACGTCACAGTGCGCGGTTGCATGCTGGGGGCTGGCTGTGTGAAGCCGTTGAAGCTATGCACCAAGGCAGGGGGGATTTCACACTCCGCTGGTGGTGATGTTTATTTACTGGGCCTGGCAGTTGGTTAAAAAAAAAAAACACATTCATTCCAACTGAGGTTGAAAGTATCTTTAATGCGGTTTCATTCACCGCCAAGGCCACCGCGGTGCCTGGTGGGCCCCCAGGGGCCTTAGTCCGGCACCTGACCTGCGGCCCCCACCGACGATACACAAAGAGTGAAAACACCCCCATTGTCATCATTATCGTGCTGCTGTAAAACCCAACAATGGTTTCAAATTGTGTGGTGGCCCTCACCACCACTCCCGATGATGTCTTATCGGCGAAAGTGGGCCCCTCCTTCTGAAAATTACTGAAGAACACTGCCATTATGTATTCCCTCTATTCGTCCTATTTCTGTCCGTACTGTAGCGGTAAGTCTCGATAACTCCTTATCGATCCAATACGAATATATATTGCTGTGATTTGTAGTGACTCGCCCTTCCAGGAAACACGGCCAGATTGATCAAATAGTTGCCTAAAACTGCACTAAATATAAAAGCCAGCTTCTCACGCATTAACAGACAATGTTCCATCCTTTGACTGCCACTCCACCAATAAAGTGGGTATCATGAACCCAACAATCTCACCTCCGATTAGCACGGTTGGCTACGTACGGTGCAAAAAAGAAAGTTCAACATACATATAACTAGCAGCAGATCTATTAAGTGGTATCACCAATTTATTCCACAAGAACCACGTAAAAATATATAATTTACGACCGAAACATCACAATGCAGGACCCCTCCTAAATGTGTGTCTTGGTGATTCATTGAGGTGTTGCTGCATAAACTTCGTGCATTTGTTATAGGCCAGGTGTGTCCAAACTTTAATTCCATAAGTGTTTTCCAGAATCACCACCACCTCTGTGCTACAGTCCTCACACCCTCAGGCCTGCACCTCCACAACCACATTACAACACAGTCGATATGGTGTCCAAGACCATTCACTAAATTATATCACGCACTCGCACAAACGAATTAACTTTAGCACTGTCATTTAATTTCAGAGCCACGGTGGTACTTTTTTATATATGTCCTCAGGGTTTTTCCCTCCATGTAAAAAAAAACATGCGTTTTAAGAGTATTGGGCTGCTAGAAATGTCCACGTGATAAGCCACTGTATGAGCTCTCATTTGTGATAGCCAGGTTGCTTCTGAAAAAGAGCGTTATAGCTCAGTGGGCTTTACGTTGGTAAAATAAAATATAGTTTATAGTTTAATGGTTAGATGAAGGGACGCGAGTTCGTGGGCCAGATTTTGCCTCTTAAGAGCCCTGTTGTTGCAGGTGTAGATGATGGCGTTTTCCACTGCCCCTTGTTCCCAGTGTCGCGGATGCTGCCTCCTCACCCCTTGTCCCGGCGCGGCACGTGCGCCGTTCCCTGTCCCCAGCCGCACGCCTCGCCATCCTCCTGGGTCCCCAGAGCTTCAGCCCTGATGCGGAGTCTGCGGGACAGGAGGCACAGGGCCAAGGCAGCCATCCGTCGAATGAAACGCACACCTGACGCCAGCGTCAAAGGCGTGGACGAGGACACGCAACACGGTGCCCGACATGCTAGATGGTTATGATGAATGGTTATGAATGGTCCATGATGATGGTTATTGGGATGATGGTTATGATGGTCATGATGATGGTTATGATGAAGGTCATGATGATGGTTATGATGGTCATGATGATGGTTATCATGGCAGGATGTGAGTGCCATGCTCATGCACCTTGACCTGAGACCGGGAGAACGTGGTGCTGGAGGCCGGGTCGGGGAGTGGAGCCATGATGCTGATGCTGTCCGGTGCAGGTGACCCCTCCCGCTGCCACCGTTTGATTCACCCACGTTTACCACGCCACATGTTCACCATGCCGCGCTTCACCGTGGGATACTTCACCGTGCGCCGGGGGGGTCGGCAACCAGAATAACAAGAAGATACTTTTTTTTTCCAATTCGGTAAAATAAAACCTCAATATTTCAAAAGAGCCACAATGGATGTGAATACGAGACGGTTGGTCTTAATAAATAGCGTCACGAAAACAGTCCTTAATGAGCCACAGGTTGGTGACCCCTGTCCATGGCAAACTGGGCTTCCATGGCAAACTGGGACTTCCATGGTAAAACTGGGTTTCCATGGCAAACTGGACTTCAATGGTCAACTGGACTTCCACGGACAGGGGCCGGCAAACAAAATAACAAGAATAGCCATTTTTTGGAATTCAGTAAAAAAACAACTCTATTTCAAGAGCCACAACACAGTCTCCGGAGCTACAGGTCTTGCCGACCTCTGGCCATGCCACACTTTATAATGCTGCATGAATAAAACGACTTTTTCTCATGTAGCCTTGAACAAACCGTTGGGGTAAGTTCTGTTGGCAAGCACCTATTAATACCTGCATCAGCGTACAATGTGGTGGTGTGGTTAGCGCCATGTCTGGTATTGTTGCCCTTCCTCAGTGCGGATTTTTGGTACATTGTATCAGGTACTCGTTTGAGGCCGACTCGCCCTAGAGGAGGCCCATATCACGTTTGGATATCCATGGATTGTATGTTGAACTTATTTCGCACCGTACTTAGCCAACCGGGATAATCGGAGGTTGCAGGGAAAGATACAACAAACTAAACACAAAAATTCAGTTCTAAAGAAATGAGTTTTCAATCTAGATTTAAAGTGCAAAGCTGCAGTGGCGGCGTTAGCGATGGTCGGGAATTGATGCCACATCGCTGGCTTTGTAGGGCAGTATATAAACACACTTTTACAACTATTAAAAAATAAGAATAGGGTTAAACACTTTCTGGCAATAAAAACAGGTATTAAGATGTTCAAACACCAAATAGAAACCTTTTTCAAGGAATCATTGTCTGCATTGTTGTGGTGAACATGTAAACAAACATGCTCTGATAATATATGCATTGTCTTTGAAACTGATTGGCCGACACCAGAGACAGCCTTCTTTAAGGGCCTAGTCTCAACCAGTGTAGGGCCAAAGCAAAAACGCAAAAAGAGGAACAGCACGAAGACAATGCCACTATCGGAGCATTTAAAGCTCGGGGTGAGCATCTACAAAATGGGACCTTTTTTTTCCAGTATCAAAATATGAAAAACTACGAAGAGGTTTTACCCTCTCTGACACTGTTACACCTCGTAGTCAAGCCACTGATTGTATATATGAATGTTGAACTTCTTTCGCTACCATACGTAATCATCTGTGCTCATCGGAGGTGCAGTGAGGAGGGGACAGAAACTAAACACAAAAAGCAGTTTCTAAAGAAATTAGTTTTTCCATCTCTAAGAAATTAGATTTCAATCTAAGAAATTCGTTTTCAATTAGATTCGACGCGCAACCGCATGATGCGCATCACTTCGACATGGCCCACAAGCAATATCCGTACACTGTGAGCATTCTTAGCCGCACTAATCAGGTACTAGAGGGAAATATTTTTGACCTGGCTATAGCATGGTGTTCTCTAATTTTAGTCGCATTTCTGTCACAGCCAAAGGCCCTAGCATGACAGAACAATTTCTGATTGCAACCCCACCTAATTTACTCCTGGTATAAGCACAACCGTTTATTATAAACGCGCTGTGCATTGTGGCAGCTGACCGTAAACGCAACGGAGGTGGGCGCACATGTCAGCAAGGTTATAATAAACGGTTGTGCTTATACCAGGAGTAAATTAGGTGGGGTTTCAAATCAGAAATTGTTCTGTCACTGCTAGGGCCTTCAGCTGTGACAGAAGCGGACTAAAATTAGAAAACACCATGTTATAGCCAGGAAAAAAATATTTCCTCTAGTACCTGATTAGTGCGGCTAAGATGCTCACAGTGATGGATATTGCTTGTGGGCCATGTCGAAGTGATGGGTTTCACGTGGTCGCGAGCCGTATCAAATTGAAACCTCATTTCTTAGATTGAAATGTTGATTTATTAAAGATTGAAATCTAATTTCTTTAGAACTGATCTTTGTGCATTTAGTTTCTGGTCCTTTCCCCCGCACCTCCGATTTGTGCGGTTGGCGACGTATGGCGCAAAAAGAAGTTCAACATACACACGTACACCACACAGAGCCCCATACTCTTCTGCCGCTACATTTGCATCGGCCACAACAACCCACTTCAGTGGCAGACGGGTGACTGCGCAGCGCCGATGCGGGCGCACTCAGGACCACCTGCCCCCCACGTGTGCACGTGCGCTTGTGCAGCATCACGCAGGCCGTGGATGTGGCGGCCACCGTTCGGATCAGAGCGGTCTGCCGGTGAGCGTCGAGCTAATGCTGGAGGTGTCCCACTGAAGCTGGGTCATCAATTCCCGCGCTGCACAGAGACGGCAGTCCCTACATGAGAACCCACGCGGGTCGTGCGAGCTGGACGAGGGGGACGGAGGTGAGTGTGGTGCGGCGAGGCCTCAACACCGCCCAGCCCACAGTAGCTGGGTCTGTGCCACGACCTGTGACTGAGCCGTTACCACACTGCTAATGGCACCCGGGCTTTGCTAATGAATCTCCTCAGCCAACCTTCACCACGCTACCCACGGAAAATTGTCATCCCATGGCTTGTCGATGAACCTTCACACCACCCCACAGTAGCTGGCTCCGTGTCACGATCTGTTACTATGCCTTCACCACACTGCTCACGGTGTGGAGAGATGATGACCAATCGTCTGGATTTAAGAAGAGGTATTGAGAGTGGCTGTGTCACGTTGGTGGGATGCGAGGGCGTGTGTTGTGCCCAGGAGGTCGCGAGGGTTTTGGGCGACAGTAACCCTTCTCCCCCTCCCACGTATTTTTTTAAACAGGGTTAGAGAAGGCCATCGCTTCACTGGTGGGTGGTGGACGCCGCCGTGCCACTGTGGGCGGTGTGTATAAAGGGTAGGCGATCACGTCTGGTGCAGAGGCTCAGGTGAGTTTGGCATCGGCAAACTTCATTGCACGTGAGTTCTTAACCATTTTACCCATCCCGAGGCGGTCTGCAAGTTGCTGGGTGCGGTGTCCCGTTCGCCGCCGAATGTCAGAAACGTGCAAGCGGTTCGCCGTTAGTTTCATTTAGAGAGGCGTAGCGCTGTTGTTTTTAAAGACATTGCACTCACCGCAGAGAACCGTAGCGACACGAGCCGAACTCTACGATAGCTGGCGCCAAACAACTATGCCACATGCCCTCCCACATGACCTTGTGGGAGCCTCGGGTACGTCTTTCCGACCTGAAGACGTACCTAATAAAATTATTTTCTTTTAGATTTTTTCTCATTATTTCGTTCTGATGACGTACACATACGTCACCCGGAATGGGAGGAGGGTTAACAGTCAACATAATATTGACTGTTAAGAAACGTAAGTGTGCTCGGCAGCAGGGCGCATCGTCATTGGCGTGGATGATGATCGGCGATCGAGACTAAAAGGAGCAGCGGTTGCCAAAAAAATGGAAACGCGGCCAGGAGAGGGACATCCACCACGGAGACTGGAGCAAAGGAATCAGTTTGTTGTGCTGGAGTTTGGGGATTTGTTGCCTCGTAGGACCTTGAGGGGTGAAAACGGCATGAGAGATCTTAATACAGCAATGTTTAGATCATGGTCGATGATGATTGTGTTCAGACTCCCACCTTGCAAGGTGATGAGGTAATCGATAGCAGTTAGCAGTCTAGAGAATTACTACTGCAAATAACGTGTGCTATGTGACTATATATTGCGTATGAGTGTCATATCATATGCATGTGTATTTATCTTTGATACTTTTAGGGTTGTGCATGTGTATTGCTGTGTTTACATGCATAGTGAGTTCAACTGAGTCACAGAAGTACTACCTTGGAGAAAACACATTAATACCAAAACAAAGGGGTAACTGGCCCCTTCACCAGATAACAACCTCCGGTGGTGGACCACCAGGCTAACTACACTAATTACACCGTAACTAGCTACATGACCACCAGGCTAACTACACTAATTACACCGTAACTAGCTACATGACCACCAGGCTAACTACACTAATTACATCGTAACTAGCTACATGACCACCAGGCTAACTACACTAATTACACCGTAACTAGCTACATGACCACCAGGCTAACTACACTAATTACACCGTAACTAGCTACATGACCACCAGGCTAACTACACTAATTACACCGTAACTAGCTACATGACCACCAGGCTAACTACACTAATTACATCGTAACTAGCTACATGACCACCAGGCTAACTACACTAATTACACTGTAACTAGCTATGCGACCACCAGGCTAACTACACTAATTACATCGTAACTAGCTACATGACCACCAGGCTAACTACACTAATTACACTGTAACTAGCTATGTGACCACCAGGCTAACTGCACTTATTACACTGTATCTAGTATGTGACCACCAGGCTAACTACACTAATTACACCGTAACTAGCTACGTGACCACCAGGCTAACTGCACTAATTACATTGGGAGTAGCTACAGCGGACAGGACCCCAGCTCGCGTCCAGGTCCACGTGTTGGTGACTTTTCTCAGACGTCAAGCGTAGATCTTCAGGATAACAACAGCAACGCCGAATCCCGGTCCCTCTGGGGACCCGGCTTATATCCTCACTGGTCGTGGCTGGCTCCGCCCTTGGCCACGACCACCTTCTCGAATCCGCTCGCCGGTTTTCGACCCGACACGTGACCACCCCTAGCCCCCACCTGGGCGCCCTGTGTAGACTTTACCGGCCACGTGTCCTTCGGGGTCAACCAGAGTGCCATGGCCCTTTGTAATCCCATTCCCATGGCCGGCACTCTCACACCCTACCCTGTAGGGGTCGGCACTGCACGCAGAGCGTGGTGCCATCCATCACTGCCAGTCAGCTCTCACCGAGCCCCTCTAGGGCCGGTACTGCACCCACATAAACGTGGTGCCCACGATATCAATACATCGCACGGCGTGCCTCACTAGAGCCGGCATCACACAGTGACATCGATGATGTCACTATACATGTACAACCCCATGACCGACAAGGCATGGAAAGTTATTTTTTATAAGAACCCATTGAGAGGAGTCTGCTCTTATTCAAGAGAGCTTCGTGTGGAGTAGATGGGCTGGTGATCTGTATTTGCAGGTTCATGTCATTTGAATTTCTGTATCGTATATATTTTGTTAAGGTGAAGTTAAATGATAATGCGTGGATTGTATTTTTTTCACAGCTTTCCTCATCAAGCTGCGAAAGATACTGCCAGAATAACCACGCAAGGATGCCTTCAACCAGCGGTGGATTAACACAGGGATGCGAATTATTCTTACCGAATGTATGATGCTAATTCCTTTGCCTGAACGATGTTAATAAATATTTTGTATTACGACGTTTGTAATATGTGTGGTTTGTGTGTGACGCCCTGAGCTGATTCAGCATTGCCCAAGTATTTTGAGCTTGCAACACATAGACCTCCATTCAGTCGCACACACTCATAGGCCTACACTTGGGAGGCAAGGGTTGGTGGGGCCTGCAGTTTTAGTTGTTGCAAATCCTAAACTCACTTGCACTTTGTGGTGGTCAGGAGATAGTGCGGCTAGTGGGATTGTGAACCCATTTGTGTCTCAAACTTTAAGTCTTAACCTTTAAGTTTTAACCTCTCATAGCATGGGTTTTCTCCGAATACACCGATTCTTTCCTACATCTCTAAACAAGAAATAGACGTCCAGGAGGGGCGGGTCAGAACGGTGCAACAAACAATACAAACAAATCACTGAAGAAATTTTTTTCTATCTTACCAGGTAAAGCCAACTGAGCAATTCGCCTATTTTTCAGAAGCGACCTGGCTACAGATGATCGCTCAACAAAGTGGCTTATCACGTGGATAATTTATCAAAGCAAAATGGTCTTAAATAAATGATCGAAACTAAAAACGAAGGATTTTGGACCAAACGTCATAATTTTGCGAGGGTTTTTGTAGAGCAAGGGGGGGGATGCCTCCCAGCCGAGGCACCACCGAGTCGGGGACCCCGGTAAGAACTTCTAGACAGTCTCAAAAGCTGAGGAGGTTGGGAGGGAAAATGCACAGGCCTGCGAGAAACTAAGGTGTGTGGTGAGGGCGTGGGGCACGAATTACTTCAGTGAATTGCTGAGGCAGGACGGTGGACTGTGCTGTGTGTGCGATTCGGAACAACAGTTGATTTACCGGGACGACTCGTGTGCACCCCGTTGGTGAGATGTTAACTACCTCGCCTGGTATACAGGAGATCGTGGGTTCGACCGCGACCTTGACGCCTGCTGTGTATTTGAAGTTTGTGGTGTTTCTCTCCCCGTGATTTGTGTGGATTTTCCTTTTGATCCTCCGCTTCCCCTCCCCACATTTAGAATCAATGTGCGTTTCGAGTATTTGGCTGCTATAAATATTTACGTGATATGCCACTTCGTTGAGCTATGATTTGTGATAGCCAGTTCCCTTCTGAAAAAGAGCTACATAGCTCAGTGGGCTTTACCTGGTAAAATAAAATAGTAAAATAGCCATACTCTGGTTCTTTCAGTAAAGTCACGTAGGTAAAGAAAATAAAAAAAAGATAAAAATTAATTTTAGCTGTGATTTTCACACCTGATGATGATGATTGCTTGTGTTGCAATAGTAACGTCGTGATTTAATTTAGTTGATTTATTTTTATCTTTTATATTATTTTCTTTACCTACGTGACTTTACCGAAAGAACCAGAGCATGGATCCTTGCAGTCACGAAAACTTCAAATCTAGAATGAGTAAAATAGCCTTCAATAATAGAGTTGTTTTGGGCTTAGATCGCGTAAATATATAAAGGTGTCGTTAAACCCCGCCACCAGCCGACACAGGCAACTCTAGTAAGGGTTGTCACGTAATCAAAAAGTGCCAATTCGTCACTATTACAGCACACCGGTGTGTTGGAGAGCCAAGCCACAACATTTACAATCTGAGTACGACGTTTCGCAACTAATTACAACTAGCTTAAGTCTAACTTTTGTCGTTCCTTACATAGAGGCGTAGATGTGGTAACCACACTTCTACACTCTTGCGCAAAGTGGGGTGGGGGGGTTACTGAGGCAACGTATATTATGCGAGCCCTTTATTTGATCATGTCCTTCCTGTCTATTGTGTATTAAAATATCCGTACCAACTTTAAATAGGCTAATTTCCCCCCGTCCCCCCCCCCCCCCCCCCCCCCCACTTTGCGCAAGAGCGAAGAAGTGCAGTTACCACATCCACGCCTCTATATATTGGTCGCGAAAGTCTACGTGTTAAACTAAAATAGCCTTGTTGGCTGATGGCCCTCATTCTGTACACATCTCGGGATAATCCACTCACCGGTAATGTTCTCATCATTAGGTTTCTGGCCTGCTCGTGTCGCTGTGGATGTTGAATTGGCCGTTCGTAAATGTGTTGTTTTTGCTATCTTTGTATATTTTTTACCAATTGTGATTTATGGTCGCCACCATTAGCATTCGGCCAAAGTAATTGGCAAAGGTCGCGCTCAAAAAATTACCTCCTTCAAAGTCGAGACCATACCTGTCAACTCCGTATCAGTGTCCTACCTTATTACAGACCCATTCAGATCTTATTGGTCATCTCCGTGCCCTAGGCGCTCTGCTCCTCCCACTCAGCTTAAAAGACGCTGCAAAGCTTGGCAGTGTTCACTGAAGCATTGTCCTGCTGACAGTTCTGTTTCTTCACCTGAGGAAGGCTACTTGTGTTGTCGAAACGTCTTATTTCATGTTTCTTTTTATTTTTTATTTTCCATTCTACGTGACTTTACCGAAAGAACCAAGAAGATGAATCCCTGCAGTCACGAAAGCTTTAAATCGAAACATTGCCACCGCTCCGCACACAGCTGACGTGGCATTCTTCAGAGAGGACGCTTTAAAAATCTGCTCCTTGTTACATGCTGTCTCGCGTGAATTTGAAGCGCCATTAAAATCGAGGAAATGTTTCTACATTCGCGTAAAGTGACTTGCGTAATTGTGACTTCAAGGAGCATCATCATAGCATTTGACACACACTTTGGAACAAATTCCGTGCCCGTTAAATGCAGCTACCTTACAACATGAACTGGTCCTGGGAATCCCACTCCCTTCGCCAACGCCCGCACTGACCAGCACCATGTATGGTTTAACACCCCCCCCCTCCCCCCACGACTGACATGGTGAGAGAGGGGGGGCCCTCGTTACAATACGCTGTGCATTGTGGCAGCTGGCCGTAAACGCAATGGAGGTGGGCGCACATGTCAGCAAGGTTTATAATAAACGGTTGTGCTTATGTAGTGGAGTAGGAAGGTGCGTAGCACAAACAGCGTGATTACCTGATCACACAGACAGTACGGGTTATCTTGGATCAGCCTGTAGTGAAGGCGAATACAGTGCAGGTTATATTAGGGCAATTAAGCTGGGGTAGCCGTGGACGGCTTTGATTGGTTGGTGCTGTTGCTGGGGCTGGAGAGGCGTCTGGAAGTCTGGCGAGAAAGAGGTGCGACGGTCACGCGGAGCGCCGTTGGGACGCGGGTTAATTAATTGGGGGTGTAATGAGAGCGGGTATAAGAGCGGGAGTCGGAGTCAACAGAGGGGAGTTGAGTTGAAGGGAGTTGAGCTTGGAGATGGGTTGAAGTTAGAGAGCTTGGGAAAGTTGGAGTGAAGAGTTGAAGGGTGGAGTTGCTGAGTGCAAAGTCGCTGTGTGCGAAGTCGCTGTGTGCGAAGACGCTGTGTTCGAAATCGCTGTGTGCGAAGACGCTGTGTGTGAAGTCGCTGTGTACGAAGACGCTGTGTGCGAAGTCGCTGTGTGCGAAGGCGCTGTGTGCGAAGTCGCTGTGTGCGAAGACGCTGTGTGCGAAGTCGCTGTGTGCGAAGTCGCTGTGTGCGAAGACGCTGTGTGCGAAGACGCTGTGTGCGAAGTCGCTGTGTGCGAAGTTGCTGTGCGCGGAGTTGCTGAGACGGAGTTAGAGACGAAGCAGTTAGCAGTGGAGTGAGCATAGTGACGGTGATAGCGGTGAACAGAGAGATGAAGCAGTTAGCAGTGGAGAGAGATAGCGAGGGTGATAGCGGAGAGCGGAGACAAGAAGTTAATAAGGAGTTACGCGAAGTAGTCGTGGGGAGTGGAGAGACAAAGGTGGCGAGCGAGTCGAGTGAAGCATGGCGAGCGAGCCGTGGTGACCAGGATACTGTTGAAATGTGGAGGACATGCTCGAGAGTTGTAAATAAGCAGTGTTCGAAGAAAGACAGAAGTTGTCTGAGTGAAATCGAACACTACACTTATACCGGGAGTAATTAGGTGGGGGTTTTCAAATCAGAAATTGTTCTGTCACTGCTAGGGCCTTCAGCTGTGACAGAAGCGGACTAAATTAGAAAGACCATGCCATAGCCAGGTCAAAAATATTCCCTCTTGTATCTGATTAGTGCGGCTAAGGATGCTCACAGTGACAGATATTGCTTGTGGGCCATGTCGAAGTGATGGGTCTCACGTGGTCGCGACGCCGTATCAAGTTGAAACCTAATTTCTTCAATTTAAATGTTATTTATTAAAGATTGACATCTATTTTCTTTAGAACTGATCTTTCTGCGATTTAGTTTCTGGTCCTTTCCCCCGCACCTCCGATTTGCGCGTGTTGGCGACGTACAGCGCAAAAGAAGTTCAACATATACACGTACACACACAGAGCCCCATACTCTTCTGCGCTACATTTGCATCGGCCACAACGTGCGCCACTTCCTTTGGCAGACGGGTGGCTGCGCAGCGCCAATGCGGGCGCGCTCAGGACCACCTGCCCCACGTGTGCACGTGCACTTGTGCAGCATCACGCAGGCCGTGGATGTGGCGACCACCGTTCGGTCGGAGCAGCTGCCGGTGAGCGTCGAGCTCATGCTGGAGGTGTCCCACCGAAGCTGGGTCATCATTCCCGCGCTGCACAGAGATGGCAGTCCCTACATGAGACCCACGCGGGTCGGCGAGCGGGACGAGGGGGACGGAGGTGAGTGTGGTGTGGCGAGGCCTCAACACCGCCCAGCCCACAGTAGCTGGGTCTGTTCCACAAACTGTGACTGAGCCGTTACCACACTGCTCATGACACCCGGGCTTTGCTAATGACCTCCTCAGCCAGCTTTCACCATGCTACCCACGGAAAATGTCATCCCATGGCTTGTCGGTGAACCTTCACACCACCCACAGTAGCTGGCTCCTTGTCATGATCTGTTACTATGCCTTCACCACACTGCTAACGGTGTGGAGAGATGATGACCAATCGTCTGGATTTAAGAAGAGGAATTGCGAGTGGATGTGTCCACGTTGGTGGGATGCGAGGGCGTGTGTTGTGCCCAGGAGGTCGCGAGGATTTTGGGCGACAGTAACCCG